GAGTTGGCCCGAAAGGCCCTCGAGATCGTCCTCGCCGCAAGGAGCGCATCCCGATCTTTGGGATTGCGGCTAAAACTGTCACCCAGCGTCGCTGAGCGACCGCTAAGGCTCCTTATTTCGGACCCATCCATAAGGATTTCCGCAACCCACCGGACGAGTTTCGGATCCATTCCGATGTCCGACGTTTGCGCTCGGGTAAGGTTGGCATGATCTGTCCAACACAGAGTCCGAATAGAGCCAAACATGCGGCGTGTCGCCCGCTTTACCTCGAGCTGGGCAAACGCCTCCTGTATCAAGGGCGGCCAGTTCTGCTGCGCGGGGGTCAAGCTCTTTGAGTGCGTCATAAGCACTTTGAGCTGACTCAAGTCACGCGTCATCTGCACGACGCTGCCCCCTACCGCGATGCCCGACGCATCCGCGATCTGCTCAAGGGGACACGACCCATCCGCAGCAGAGGCCTCATCGAAGGTAGCCAAATTGATGCGGTTTTGCATCATGCGCTTAATCGCTTTAAAGGCTTTGCAACCCTCGGTGGCGGCTGAGCCCAGCCCGCCTTCAGGAAAGACGGCGCCTGGCTTCTGCCACTGCCCTAAAATCTTGGCTGCGTGCCCATACTCAACAGGCAGGTAGCCGCGCAACCAATTTGCGCAACCCAAAAATTGCTGAATGTGAAGCTTCTCCCAGAGCGGGGGAAAGTCAATCACCGCCTGACAACGCTCTTCGTCAGGCGAACTCCCGTCCCGCCCAATGTTGTGTCCTAGGAGCTTGCCTTTGGAGACACAAACTTCGGCCTTGCTGATTCCAAAGGAGAACCCAAACAAGATTGACTTGTCTAGGAAACCCTCTAAGGAAACGAGGTGGTCGAGGAGGTGCGGGCACGCCTTAGGGTGCCGGGCGCGCATATCTGCCGCGAGCTTCTCATAATAGTAGTCCGTTGGAGGCTCTTCGATCATCTTGTCGATATCCCAGCTCTCCACGATATGATAGCTCGGGCAGCGCGCCGTGTCGACCGCGTCTGCTGGGCGCACAGCGTCACTTGCGCCTCTTCCAGCCGTGGCCGATCCCTCACGCCAGCCAGCCCAGCGTGGCCCCTTGCGCGTCCTAAAGACCGCGAGGCGTTCGGTGACTGGAACCTCATCGCTGCACGCAACGCTTCCCGCCACACGCAAATCCCTCGTGTCCCAAAGACGCCACGCCTCACCTGCGCGCTGAAGCAAGCACGTTTCGTAAGGCGCCTTCTCGACCGCCAGGGTCCCAAGGTCCTTCTGCGCAGGGCGCCTACCCCACACAGACGCGTAACCACCCGGCGCCTCCCACCAGCTGTCGACGCTTGGGAGGTGGTCCAAGCAAGTAAGCACTCCAGGCTCCTCAACAGGGCGCCCAACCGGGCCGCTCCCGCCCCACACCGAAGCGAGAACAGTCACCGCAGCAAGGACCGATAGCACACCGATCCTGGCGCCGGTACGCAGCCGCCCAAAGGACCGCGCACACGAGGAACAACCTTGGAAGCTTCTTGCCGCGGCCCTGGACGCGGACCCGCAAGCAAAGCACGGGTCATGGTCAACCGAAGCAACGGCGACCCCACAATCCGCACATGCCTGCGGAGACGGCTCTGACTCGAACACCGTCTCAATCGCGCCACAACCACAGGCCGCAGTGCTGACGAGGCCGGAACGCACTTCCGCAACAACCTCGCCCGGCTGGAGAGAGTGATCACACTCTTGGGCTGCAAGCAACACAAACCCTTTACTCTCTCCCGTGGGCCAGAGACCTGGCACAGCCTCAACCCCACACTCAACCGGAAGCACAACCTCGGACAGGGATCCCTCTGCGGAGACTCCTGCCTCCCGCGCGACTGGCACTAGCACCCCATCACCTGGCGAGAGCTCGAGCGGCTCTTCCCCGTCATAGCGGAGAAGCTCACGACTTCCGCCCCCAGGCTCGGTGCATGACGCGTCGTCCAGGCTTGACAACCGCGCTTCAAAGGCATAGGCCCTGTCCTTCCGGGTCTTGCCGTGATCCTCACATCTGGGCATCCTGATTCCCAGCGTGTCGAGGACGTGAAAGTCGGGACCCGGCCTGAAACCCAGGCCCATCCTTCCGGCGCAGTCCAACGCTCTGCCGCCGAGGATCAGTCCGTGCCAATCGGACGTCCCCCTGGCTGCGATTTTGCATCGCACGAAAATTTCAGTGTTGGGGCGACAGTCGTCCGCCGTCCTGCCCTCCAGCAGCGTGACGCGCAAGACTGCTGCCCCCTTCAGAGGAACGGGGGCTCCCGAAGCAATGCCATGCACGTATTCGGGGTGGACCCACTTTTCGAGTCTCACGACCGGGAAGCTGGGATCCTCCGTGCCGATCCCCAGCTCTGCAGCCCGGTTCATCATGCCCACCACGAGTTCCTCTGTCACGTGGTTTGCGCCGGCGCATCCGTCGAGCATGCACTCGACCTTACGGTCGAGCACCTGGACTACCGTCCTGTACTGGTAGCCTCCTGGCTCGTTGTCCGCCAGGTTCCACCAGTCCTTCGGCAGATCGTCCAGGGTGGCGAACTTGTCCCGCCCGCCCTTGCTCAACGGAAGCGCGTGCTGCTGCACCGCGGCGCGTCCTGCGGCTCCTGAGACGCCTGCCTGGACGCCTGAGCTGCCTATCTGGACACTGAACGCGGCGAAGGGGTTAGACATGGAAGCACCGGAGGGCGGGGCCCAGTTGGCAGGCAAGGCCGGCGTCCCTCCTGAGGTCGTCAGGTTGTGGACCATGTCGCAGCTGGCTCCTTTCTTGCACGACCCATTCTTGGAGAAAAAGGGGCAAACAGTGCCTGGTGGCTTTGCCGCGCCTTTGGCCGCAGCCTTAGGCTTTGCGTTGGCCTTTGCCTTGCCACCTCCCTTCCCCTTGCCCTTACCTTTCGCCGTGGCAAAGGTTTGGTCACCCTTCTTGGCCGCGAGAGCTTTTCTGCGAAGCTCCTTGTCGTGGCTGTACGGGCAGGCATCCCCTTTCGGGCAATTCCCGTGGTCGCGAAAGTGGAAGCAGATCTTCTTGTCCGCTCCTTTGCCAGCTCCCTTCGACGCAGCGGCAAACGTCTGGTCCGCGCCAGCTTTGGCCGCGGCAGCTGCTCCTTTCGCAGCAGCCTTCGCAGCGGCCTTGAGGCTCTTAATCTCCTTCTGAGCCTCGGCTAGCGCGACCGACGGGTCCGCGCTCGGAGAGCCGGTCGCTGAGTACACAGAGTGGGAAACAGCCCGGTGAGCTGCTTCCCTCTGTTCGTACTCCAAGACGACCTTGTGGCTCTCCTCCCAAGTCTGCGGCCCTCGCAGCCCGCCATCCTTGGGATCGCCGGGCCACAACTGCTTGTCGTTACGTATCTCCTTTTGGAGATACGGGGGCATCTTGCGGAGGTACGAGAGATACAACTCTCGTGGGGTCTTCCCAAGACCCACCGCCTCAAGGTCCGCGATCGATGCCTCAAACAAAGGCTCGAATTGGTGGCCTGTGAGCTTGCCCTTAGCGAGGGAGGCATGCTCACCATCCACGCGGACTTCTCTTTCCTCCCGTGATTCCCCGAACATCAAGTGCTTGTTCTTGATGCGGTCGTACACCGCCTGTGGATCGGAGAGAACCTCTCCCGACTTCCACGCTGCGCGGTAGGCGTTCGTGTACGTCTTCATGCGCGAGCCGCGGCAACGCCCGCGTAGCGCTAGCAGCTTTTCGCGCGCACTCATACCGCGGCAGTTGTTGGCCAGCGCGCAGACGTCCTCGAACTCCTCGTAGAACAGGACAACGTCTCGCGCGTCCGACTTGTCGTCGGTCAGCGTCGGCCATGTGAGGTCAGTTTTGACCGTCGTTATGGAGCTTTGCCCGCCCCTCTGCGCTAACGCTTCTTTCAGCGCTTCAGTTTGGGCGGCGAGTGCGGCGGCAAAATCGCCCGCCGGGTTTTGGGACCCGGTCTGCGAACCTCCGCCGTCTGAACCTCGCTTCAGGGCTTCTATCTCCATCTCCAGCGCCGCAAGCTTCGCGCGCAAAGGGGAATCGCCGTCCGTCGCGCCCAGGTCACGGGCCGCGGAAGGACCACCTGCAACCTCGGCAGTGTGCAAACCTCCACGGTCCAAACCTACCCCCAACCCATTTGCAGTCGCAGGCTGTGGGAGCCCTGGGGAACGCGGCCCCACGGCTTCAACTGGCACATCGGACGGGGAGCTCCAAACCTTCTCTTGGCTCGAGCTTTCTTTTCCCCCTAGCGCGAGGATAAGCTCCCCGATGCATTGGATTTCACGCTGAATCTCCTCTGCGTCTTCGGGGTCCTCGCCACCGCGCAAAGCCGCGACCGAGAATCTGGTCCGCAGCCGACGGACCATCTTTGTCGGATGCCAATCCCCGCCTATCTTGGAGAACTCATCCGCAAGGAGGGTGGCTTTGGTGCTTAAGGCGTCAAGGTCACGGGAGCTCACCGTGACTCCATGCGCTTTCAGCGCGAGGACAATCCGCGAAACGCGCGTCAAGTAGTCCGCGACCGGTTCTTGGTCTGGACGGAAAATCGCGCGCAGCTCCGCCTGCAAGCCCTCTGCGGTGCCTGGCACTGAACCTGCTGTCGACGGCGGACCGGACGGTCCCGCCGGGCGGGACCCTGGTGCCGTAGCAGGGACATAGGCAGCACCGGTAGGGACCATGGCCAGCTCCCTAGCCGCGGCGCTGACGTCCACCCGCGGCGGACTGTCGCCTCCAGCGCCCGAGGCCTCAGGGACTAGCTCGGAGTCCTCTTCTTCTTCCTCCTCATCCTCGTCCTCGTCTTCGGCGTCATGGAGGAACTTCATGACTTTCCGCCAGAGAGCCGCCTCTTGCTCTGGCGTAGTACCCAGAGACTCCAAAAGTCTTTAAATCATGGTTAAGGGATTATGCGTAAATCTAATTTAAGGGCTATTTGCTTAATTAAAGGGTTTTCTCACACGTGTTAAATAAGGGCTTTTCTTTCCCAATATGTTTCATAAAGACACCGTCTGGCATGCAAGTGAATGATCGATCCAGATCGATGCATGGAGCAGATCCAAGGAGATGTGTGTGTACATATCTGTAGAAAAGAACAATAGGTCTACATGCCGTCCTGTTCTGCCTGCACAATTTTAAAGGCTCGAGCTCAGCTGCATCTTGGCAGATTGATTTGCGTGGAGCATTGGCAAATACTTTTAGGTAGATACGAAATTTCAGATTTGTTTTCCGTTTGCTTAACATGTTTTCATTTAAGAGGTTCTGTGGCAGATCTGCTTGCTGGAGTGACTCATGAGAGTGTGCAGTGCATGCAGAGTAGGAGGAGATGCTGTGAGGTGCAGTGCATGTGAGACTTGTTGTTTGAGCTTCTTTGCCTGCCAGCCAGCTTCTCGGCCCAAGCTAAAGCCTTCAGTGCAGCTCCAGACCTCTGTCTGCCACAAGCAGGGATGTCTTGGCATCATCAGTCAGGTTCTGGTTCTGGTGTCGCTTGGCTGCAGTATTTTTGGCTGCATTTTGTGTGCTCAGATTGTTGCCCAGGGTTCTCTGCAGTCCTGTCGCTGAGGGGTGGGGCTCCAGCTGGAAGGATGGTGGCCGCGACAAGAAGGGTGAAGGCTCCCAGTGGTGGAAGAAGGACGACGACCCGTGGGACGAGGACCCCAATGACATGTCCGGCATCGATGTGAGAAAGTGCAAGAAATGCAAGCACAACTGGTCCTATGTGCGGGAGGGTGGCTGCCTAAACACAAAGTGCAACATGTCAGCATCCAGATTTCAGGAGGCTCTCCTTCACTCTAGGAGGGTCTCCTTCAAGTTGAGCCTTGCAGTTTTTGGGAGGTTCTCCTGTATAGGAGGGTCTCCTCGCTAAGGTGAGCTCTACATCTACTCGGCCAACCGAGAGAACCTCTGGGATCCCTACAGCAAGGGCAGTGGAGGCCGGTGGGACCTGAAGGACTTTGCCAACTACATTGAGCCCACCTTGGCGAAGAAGAAGAAGAAGAACAGGGGCAAGCAGCGAAAGGTGTGGTGGGCCAAGGTCAAGGGGTGGAAGGATGCCGGCGAGCCGGAGTTTCAGCCACCGAGTGATGAAGAGGAAGAAGATCCAGGCCAAGAGGGCCAAGAGCAAGCCGAAGCGGTGCCTTTCCGGCAGAAAGACTTTCAGAGTTTCCTGTGTTGCTTGTGTTTTCTTTGTTCCCGCGAAGCCAAGGCCCAGCAGCACCCGAAGCCAAAGGCCAGGCCCCTGGTTATCCCGAAGAACCCTCCACGGCTACTGGGCTGCACTGTGTGGCTACACTGTTCTTGTGTCTGCAACATGCATGTGCTTTGTGTGCTCTCTCACACGAGGCACCTCCAGAGAAGAGAGGCAGGAGCTGCGAAGCAGCAGAGAAGAGGAGGGACGGGTCGCCAGCCTCCATGCGGAGCTATCAGAGCTGGACCAAAGTGGATGGCGAGCCGGACGAGGATACATGCAGAATTGTTCGCACAGGAGGCTCTCCTGTCGAGGAGGGCCTCCTTCTTAGTTCGTTCGAAGCTTTTGCCCTTGGCCCTTGTCTGCTCATGAGGAGACCGGTCCCCCCAGTAAGATTGCCAAGACGAAGCCAGCCTCGGAATGCTCCTTGGGCAGCAATAGTTGAGGTCCTGTTGCTTGTGCGCTGCCAAACAAGCAAGCCACTCCCCGGCAGGGCTTGGGGACAGCCAGCCGGTTGCCGTGGATGATGAGGGTCCCGAGGCAATTTGTTTTTGTGAAGGGGATGATTTTGTTTCGGGTTTGTTATCCATGCAGCCTCTCGGTCAGGCCAGTGGTCCACCAGCTCCCGAGGAGGCAGCAGGCCCAGCTGCACTACTTATGCTTTTGAATTCAGTTGCAGGAGGGCTTCTCCTATTGAGGAGGAGCACTCCTTTTTTGTTTGTTTTGGCAGGCCATGGTGACCAAGCCGAGGCCCATGATCCCAGGACTACAGTGGAAGCCATGCTCTGCAGTGCATTGCATAAACTTAGGGTGTAGGGTTTAGGGTTTGGGGTTCAGGGTTTAGGGTTTAGGGTTTAGGGTTTGGGGTTTAGGGTTTAGGGTTGAGGGTTGAGGGTTGAGGGTTTAGGGGTTAGGGTTTAGGGTTTAGGGTTTAGGGTTTAGGGTTTGTCCGTGTCTTGTTTTTGGAGGAAGCAGAAGACAGATTGAGCCTCGTCGGTGCACCAGTTGAGAGCTGCTTGTCATGCAAGCCAAGCAAGTACAAAGATTGTGTCAAGACTTCTGCAGCTTGTGTCAGTTCGTGACATTTCACGTGTGATCCAGGCTTAGCAGCATCTTCCGGAGCTGATCGATCAGGCAGCATGCACCGAGGTGGAGCGCGCAAAAAGAATAGTGTGTCTGGATTTCGTTCGAGTGCCACTGCCGAGGGAACCCGTTCAAAAAACGTTAAAATTTTTAACGTTTTTTTAACAATTTTTAACATTGATTTAGAAGGGAAACTAAAGGAAAAGGTTGTTAAAAATTATGTTAAAAAAAGTTAAAAATTTTAACGTTTTTTGAACGGGTTTCGTCGACAGTGGCACTCTTCAGGCTTTCGGGTATGGGCCTTATGGTTTAGGGTTTAGTCTTTAGGGTAGACCCTAGGGTCTAGGGTTTAGGGTTTAGGGTTAAGGCTTGAGGCCTCAGGGTTTGGGGTCTCGGGTTCCTGTTGCCGGGTTTAGGCCTTAGGGGTTAGGGTTGACGGTTTAGGGTTCGGGGTTAAGGGTTTAGGCCTTAGGGTTTAGACTTCAGGGTTTGGGGTTTTATGCTTAGGCTTTAGGGTCCAGGGTTTGGGTTGAAGGGTTTGGGCTCAGGGTTTCGGGTTTAGGAATAGTGCTTAGGGTCTAGATTCGGGTTTAGGGTCAGGGTTTAGGGTTCAGAGTTTAGGGCTTAGGATTTAGGGTTCAGGGTTTGGAGTTTAGGATGTCGGGTTTAAGGTTTAAGGTTTAGGGTTTAGGGTTAGGGGTTTAAGATTTAGGGGTCTGGTGTTTAAGCTTTAAGGTTTAAGGTTTAGGGTCTGGGGTTTAAGGTTCAGGGTTTGGGTTGAAGGGTTTGGGCTCAGGGTTTCGGGTTTAGGGGTTAGTGCTTAGGGTCTAGGGTTTCGGGTTTAGGGTCAGGGTTTAGGGTTCAGAGTTTAGGGCTTAGGATTTAGGGTTCAGGGTTTGGAGTTTAGGGTGTCGGGTTTAAGGTTTAAGGTTTAAGGTTTAGGGTTTAGGGTTAGGGGTTTAAGGTTTAAGGTTTAGGGTTTAGGGTTTAAGGTTTAAGGTTTAGGGGTCTGGTGTTTAAGCTTTAAGGTTTAAGGTTTAGGGTCTGGGGTTTAAGGTTCAGGACCCTAGGACCCTAAACCCGACACCCTACACCCCCCCCCCGGTGTGTTTATGTATGCATATATATATATATATATATATATCATATATCATATGTGTATACATAAATACATATATATATGTGTATATATATTGATGTATATATATATATACATATCTATATATTTGCAGATAGCATATATGTAAATATAAATCGATAAATAACCCAAAATAGACATACAGAGAAATATACATGTGTATGCATACATATCTGTATATCTGTATATATATATATATATGTATATATATATATATGTACGTGTACAACTGTATAGATATATACGTGGAAACATGTATACAAACTTTCTCTCTCTGTGTCTGGTGCTCTTTCTCTTTCTTTCTTTTTTTCCTCAGTATGGGGGTGTAGGAGTGGCCTCCTGCGACACAAGGAGGCCACTCCTTGAAAGCCCAGACATACTCTGGCCGACAATGCCCATCAGTGCCCAGAGTGCTCAAAGGTACCGGTTCCCTCGTGCTCCACTTTAGAAGAACTCGCTTGCTTGCAGTGGCTAAGACGGCTAAGCCTGCGACCTCCAAGGGCAAGTTTGCTGCAAAAGCAGCGAAGAAGGAGCCCAAGGCCGCTGCCAAGGGGACGGCCACACCCAAGTCGCAAGCAGTGAAGACCGAGCCAACAGAAGCAGTGGGCAAGATCGGCATGGAGAGAGGCCAGCTGTCGGGACTGCTGACCTCGCTGTCCTACCAGTGCAAGGCCAAGAAAGCCACCCCCGAGCACAGAGCAGCAGCAGCGAAGATCCTCAGCGACTACAAGGCAGCAGACGTGAGTGGCAAGAGCAAGATCTTGGAGAAGCTTGTGCAGAGTGGCATGCACTGCTTGGACTGGGCCAACGAGCTGACGAAGAACACGGAGGTTCAACACGAGGAAGCGAATGAGTTTGTGAAAGGCTTCATGACCCGGTGGCTTGGCTGCAGTAATATTTCTTTTTGTTGGGTGTGGGTTGGTGCCCTCACAGATTTGGTCGCAGAGGTCCAAAATCCTGGAGCTCAATGGCCTGAACGAAAGCAACCTTTCAGAGCAGGTGGCAGCCGACACCTTGCAGGACCTCCTGAGAGAGTCCGAGGAAAGGTTCAAGCACACCAGGCAAGAGCAGCCGCACAAGAACAAACTCCTGCATCGCTACTTTTACAAGATGCAGAAGGAGAGCACAGAGAGAGACTCTGCCACCGACACGACTCGGCACAGTCAGACGGGAACCATGGATGGTGGAAGCTTGGGCTCGTTGATGGATGCCTTCGGCAGTGGTGCCGCTTCCAGCATTGAGGTGGACATGAAGGGTGCCTTCAACAAGAACGTTCTTGAAATTGCTGCCTCGCCTGCGAACCCACGAAGAACGTGGTCGTACCGGGACGAATCGTTTGGGCACACATTGTCGAAGCATGCTGTTCGCAGGGGCGGGGAGTTCAGCATGCTCGGAGTTTCAAGGGCAATGTTGCAGAAGTTTGCAGCAAGCAATCCAAAACCACCACTTTTGCGAGCCAGCTCAGTCAAAAAAAGGCTTCAGACCGTGCTTTATTAGCCTCTGTCACGAGACATCATCTTGCATGTACCACACCAAAAAACCTTTAATTAAGAATGCACCAAAAAAACCTCTAATTAAGCCAAAAGCGCTTCTTCGAACCGCACAACTCTTAATTAAGGCGAAAAACCTTCTAATCAAGGTTTGGTTTTACACTTTAACCTTTAATTAAGCTAATATCCTTTGTTTAAGGGCTGATTTCAGCGGTTTTTTTTTTAATTAAGGGTCTTTCTTAAATTTAAAGACTTTTGGAGTCTCTGGGTACTGATCCCATCCCGCTTGGACAACGGACGGCTGCCAGTCTCCCTACGCCACTTAAGCCAAGCGACGTAGCTCATCCGCTCGGGATAGGGAACGTCTCCACCCTCGATAGCTTCGAGGAGGGTGACGCCCTCGGCCTGACCTGCTACCTCTGCGGACATTGCCGCGCCTTGGTAAACAGGCCGCAGGCGTGGCACGCGAAGCGCCGCGCCTTGGTTAACAGGCCGCAAGCGTGGCACACAGTCCACGCGTCCAGGTCACGGACCGCGACAGACAAGCAAAGCAATGCTTGCCCACTCGGGCCGTAGGCACAAGAGCTGTACGTTTCCCAGAACAGCCCCCAATTGTGAAGTCGACCAGCACTGGACTTGCGCTAAGCCAATGCAATCACAGCCCGGTCACGCTGTTTTACGACTTCGCGAGTTCAAGCACTTGTGCAGCTACGCCTGAGTGCGTCCGGTCGGACCGCACAGCAACCTAAGAGCTACTGTACGACTCTACCGTGCTCAAAGGCACAAGCTCGGTACTTGAGCCAAAATATTGGCATTGTTACGAATTGCAAAACTCCACATGCAAAGGAAAACTACAAGGTGGTCTGCCGAGTCCTAATGCATCACAGAGCAGAAGATGCATATGCACTCATGTCAGCTCACAATATATATATATATATATATATATATATATTTATATCGCATATTGTATATTATATGTCGTATATTGCATATCATGTATTGTATATTGCATATTATCTACTGCATATAATGCATAATATAAAGTATATAATATATAATATATACTGTATACATAATATACAATATATAAAATATATGATATTATTTATTATTAATTAATTTATGATTTATTATTCATTATATAGTATATTTTATATATTATGTAGTATGTATTATATATTGTTCTTTGAAGCCATTGGAATGCAAAGAAAATGGAAGTTTTTTGCTTTAAACATGTAGAAGTAGAGTTTTTCCGATGGAAACATAGAGATAATAGAGGATTTCTCATGAAAACGTGAAGACAGTAGACGTTTTCTTGTGGGAGTATGAAGAACTAGAGGTTTTCCCATTGAAAGATCGAGAAACTAGAAGGTTTTCCAACCACTACCACCACTTCTACGCATCGTGCGAACATTGTTTGCAAATGGGGGGGGGCTGCGCCCCCCCCAACCCCCCCGCTGTTTTTTTTAAGCTGTGCAAAGCGTGCTGCAAAGCCAAGTGGGGGGGTGTGGGGGGGGGGGGGCTGCGCCAACCCCAACCCCGCCGCGTTTTTATCAAGCTGTGCCACTGCAAAGCGTGCTTTATGAATCTTGTTGAAGCCATTGGGATACTAAAAAGTTTAAGTTTTTCTTAAAATACATGCAAATAGAGGTTTTCCGATGGAAACATAGAGATGATAGAGGTTTCCTATGAAAACGTGAAGAAAATAGAGGTTTTCTTGTGGGAATATGAAGAAATAGAGGTTTTCCTATTAAAAGATCGAGAAAATAGAAGGTTTTCCAACCACTACCACCACCCACTACTACCCATCGTGCGAGCATTGTGTTTGCAAATGGGGGGGGGGGCGCCCCCCCCCCCCCCCCCCCCCCCCCCCCCCCCAAACCCCCCCCCTCCAACCCCCCCCCTCCAACCCCCCCCCCAACCCCCCCCAAACCCCCCCAACCTCCCCCCCCCGCTGTATTCCAAGAGGAAAAATGGGTTATTTTTTTTTTGATGCTTATTTATTTTTTTTTTGATCCCTTGGGGTTATTTTTTTTTTGATGCTTATTTTTTTTTTGATCCTTCACCCGACCTCAGGGTTCAGGGTTCAGGGTTCAGGGTTCAGGGTTCAGCTGGCCAAGGTTGCAAAACTCATCGAGAAGCTGCCCGATCTTTCTGTGCCCGCAGCTCAGAGGCTTGGTCAGGCCGTTCTGGACTTTGTGGTACTTTACTGTAACTTTAGATCCTTACCTTTTTTGGGTTTATTGGGCTTCTTATTAAGGCAGCTAAAAGTTTAATTTATAGCTACCCTCCTGAGTGTAGCCAAGTGGAAAAGTCGGACAGCCACTAAACACTCTAACTTCTTGGGCTTCGGGTGAGGTGAGCCCTCAACGCCAAGACCCCGAAACCCTGAGCTCTAAACCCTAAACCCTAAACCCTAAACCCTAAACCCTAAACCCTAAACCCTAAACCCTAAACCCTAAGGGCCATGGCAAAGAACCGCCCCTGTTCTGTCTGAGCTCGGTCCAAGTCTACACCCTAAACCCGCAAGTTCGTCACCCTAAACCCTTGTAAGCCCTAAACCCCCCTAAACCCTAAACCCTAAACCCTAAACCCTAAACCCTAAACCCTAAGTCCCCCTGCAAGTACTAGTGGCAAGCCGTGGGATGCAACAGCTGGGAGATTCGTGGCCACTTCTGTTTTAGCTGGGCTTAGGCTTGAAGGAGCTTAGGGTTTAGGGTTTAGGGTTTAGGGTTTAGGGTTGAGGGTTGAGGGTTGAGGGTTGAGGGTTGAGGGCTGAGGCTTGCAACTCTTTCCCTGCTGAGTCTGCTTGTAACATAGTTCCCTGTAGATGGCCTGTGGGTGCACCACATTCCCGGCTTTTGAGCTGTGGTTTTGCCGTAGCAGGGTGACCGACTGCCCGCAGTCATTACTCTTGATACAAGTGTTTTTCGGATGACGAACCCTAAGCCGTAAGCCCTTTGTTCATAGCCATCGCTGACATCTCTGCCATCGTCCGTGACTTTTTGCCCAGGAACCCGAAAACCCTGCCGAAAGCCTGCCGCAAACCCCGTGAGCCCCCAAAAAGCCCGGCAACCCTGCAAACCCCAAGCCAATTCTACACCCTTACGCTAGATTCGAAACCCTTAGCCCCGATCTACAAGCCCGGGGGTCCCCGAATCTTCGACGGGCCTTGGGTTGACGTCCTGCCATTGTTGAAGGGAACTGGGGAAATTCCAGATTTGGCGACAAACTATATCATTCAGTCAAGTACCAAGAAACAAAAACAAGACAGACTAGGGAAATTCCAGATTTGGGCTCAGGGGTTTAAGGGCTTGGGTTGGGATGGTCTCCCCCCTTTTCCATACTCGCAGTCCTCAATCGGGAAAATCGCACCCCCCTGATACAATCCCCTATTCAGGACCCTTAGCATCAGGAGGATCCCAAAGCTTGGGGGGGGGGGGGGGTTTAGAGGTTCAGAGAATTTAGGTTACGGTTAAAGCTCCTGTTCATTATTAGCTTTTATTAAATTTATGTATTTTCTTATTTTATTTTTACAAGTTTGATTTAAGATAGAGAATTTAGGTTCAAGGCTTCCTCAACACTTCGGGGCTGCACCCGAAATAATCCGAAAGCTTTTAAAAAGCACCCACCCCGCAACTTGCAATCAGTCTCCCCCCCCCCCCGGAAGACGTCGATTCGCATCCTTTGCCCTACTTAAGCTCCCTACATTGTCGGTTTAGGGTTTAGGGTTTAGGGCTTAGGGCTTAGGGTTTAGGGTTCAGGGTCACAAAACCATAGCCCGACACCCCCAAGCCTCAAGCCTCAACCGCGCCTGAGACCCTAAAGCCCTACAGTCAAAGTTAAGAGGGCCTTCGAAATAGCACTGGTCCCTAGACCCTAAGGCCCTAGGCCCTAAACCCTAAACCCTAAACCCTAAACCCTAAACCCTAAACCCTAAACCCTAAACTTTAGCACTTCTCCTGCCCTGGCCGCCGAAAGCAAGGCTTGATGAGATTGCTGAGCTGCTTCGCACGCAGGCGGATTTGGGGTTTGGTTTGTTGGGATTTTGGAATAGGGTTCAGGGTTCAGGGTTCAGGGTTTAGGGTTTAGGGTTTAGGGTTTAGGGTTTAGGGTTTTAGGGTTCAGGGAGTTTATAGGTGAAGGTCATCGCTAACTGAGGTCTGCAGGGTGTAGGGTTCATCGGGCTTTAAGGCTTTGATAAGGCTGGGTTATTCGTGATTTTGAGGTTTGGGGCTCATACTTCAGGGGCTGACTAGCTGAGGTGTAGTCTATTTCTGTTTGGGGGGGAAGGGGTTGGGTTGGGGTCGAACTGGTTACAGCTGAGTTGTAGGGTTTAGGGTTGGGTTTAGGGTTTAGGGTTTAGGGTTTAGGGTGTCTAACCCTAGAAACCCGAAACCCTGAACCCTGAACCCGTGTTGGCAGGCCTGTACACCTTACGAGCTGGCCCTCCTTGGCCTTCCGGAGAAGCTGGTGCCACTGTGCCTCGCCCGCAATGGAAGGCTCAGGTTAGGGTTTAGGGTTTAGGGTTTAGGGTTTAGGGTTTAGGGTTTAGGGTTTAGGGTTTAGGGTTTAGGGTTTAGGGTTTAGGGTTTAGGGTTTAGGTTTTAGGGTTTAGGGTTTAGGGTTTAGGGTTTAGGGTTTAGGGTTCAAAGCACCTCCGAGGCTGACTTCTGGAGCGACTTGGCCCTGGCCCACAGAGGGCCGCGGCTCTCAGCAAGCCCTTGAGGTGCCGCCTCAGGGGGGGGGGGGTTTAGCGTTTAGGGTTTAGGGTTTCGGGTTCAGGGTTCAGGGTTCAGGGTTCAGGGATTCGTGCAAAGAAATTTCCGACCAGTGACTGAGGGGCTTCCTTCACAAGGCCTTGATTTTGAGTCGAAAAGTTTGTTTAGGGTCGACAAGGATCTTGAGAAGGGTTGCATAGGGTCTTGCGGTTGCTGTGCGTGGAAGAGTTTTGCATAAAGTGTGTGTGTGTGTGTGTGTGTGTGCACTATTCGGCGTTTTGGAGTTTTGGGTTTGGGGCTTCGGGTTAGTTTCCCTAAACCCGAAGGCCTAGCCCCTAAACCCTAAAGCCTAAACCCTAAACCCTATAAGCCCTAAACCCTAAACCCTAAACCCTACAGGGTTACCTCCTCCACACTCCGACCCTATAGGCCCAAGGACGCGCTGATGGATGGCCCTCATAAGCCTCTAAGCCCAGACCCCCAAAACTTTGTGGTTCTTTACTGAAACTTTAGATCCTTAGCCTTTTTGGGTTTATTGGGTTTCCTAGTAATGCAGCTAAAATTTTGAGTTATAGCTACCCTCCTAGGTGCAGCCAAGAAAACCTCATGCACGCCCAAACCCCTACACCCTAAACCCTAAACCCTCAACCCCAAACTTCAAACCCCAAACCCTAAACCCTAAACCCTGAACCCTAAACCCCAGCCAGGCTCTCGTCCCCGCCTTTCAGTGGCTCCTCGGCCTCACGGAGTCTCTGCCGGCCGGGGGCTCCCAGAGTCATCGGGGTTTAGGGTTTAGGGTTCAGGGTTTAACGTGTTTAGGTTTTTTTTTTTGCAGGGGCAGGGGGGGGGGAAATGCCAGGGTTTAGCTCCTTTGAAAAAGATCAGGGACATGAGGCTTGCACGCTTTTGGCTTTGTTTTGTTTTTTGGGCTGACATGTTTGACTTGGAGCCCGGGGCTCGCCTCTGCCTTCATCGATGGAGTGATTGGGCGGCTGGTGGAGCTTGGACAGATCCCGCTTGCGGAGTACATTCAGCAAGAACTCTTGGTCCAGAAGCGGGAGTTCTGGCGTCCTATGTGGTTGAGTGAGACGAGCTTGACGACGGACGAGGATATTGAAAATGGCACGAGGGCGGCCAGAGCGGGCTTCACGACGGCTAGCATCTCGCAGGCCATGGAGAGTTATTGGGCGGCTTTGAAGCGAGGCGCGGGTGATGCCGACCCTAAACCCTAAACCCTAAACCCTAAACCCTAAACCCTAAACCCTAAACCCTAAACCCTAAACCCTAAACCCTAAACCCTAAACCCTAAACCCTTCAGTCCTCGCCGCCGTTCAGGCGCTGATCCTGACCACGCCAGAGGCGAAGCCGACCGAATGCTGAACGGGGAAGCAATGGTGTCCGAGAGGTATTTGACCCAGTCGGAGCAGGGAGGGCGAGATCAGATACGCTTGCCGCCCGTATCATCATACTTGGCCTTCTGTCCAGACAACTTCAGAGAAACAGAGTTCATTCAAGCAGAGTGGACGTCAAGCACATGTATGTTGTTCCTCTGGGGGGTTAGGCATGGTTCGATATAGCCTGGCCAAGGTAAGATTTGAGGCTCAAATCAGGTTTCGATTATTAGGTTGCAGTGCATTCACCCTAAAGCCTTCAAGCGAAATAAACGCATCCACTTTCAAAAGCCACTGGACAAGCGCTCCCTGAGCCCTAAACCCTAAACCCTAAACCCTAAACCTTAAACCCTAAACCCTAAACCCTAAACCCTAAACCCTAAACTCCCCGAAGCGCGGAAGCCCAAAACCCAAACCTAAAAGTATACCTACATAAGCCCTGCAACCCGAGAATGAAATCCTGTACCTTAAGCTTAAAAGCACAAGACCCAAAACTCACAAAACCCCAAGCCCTGCACCCGCGACCCTAAACCATAAAACCCTGCTAGACCTCTTGCTTCTATGGGTTTGGAGTTGAATCGCCGGGCTTGATCGGCGATCCGTCTTATGAAAGCGAAGCTGTGTTTAGGGGGTTTAGGGGGTTTAGAGGGTTTAGAGGGTTTAGAGGGTTTAGAGGGCTTAGAGGGTTTAGAGGATTTAGAGGGTTTAGAGGGTTTAGAGGGCTTAGAGGGTTTAGAGGGCTCAGAGGGCTGGGAGGGTTTAAAGGGTTTGAAGTCCCTGCCAGGGTGTCTCTTAATCTTGCACCCGGTTTAGTGGGGGTTTAGGGTTTAGGGTTTAGGGTTTAGGGTTTAGGGTGGGGGCCCCTGAATAAAGTGAGATTGGCTGGCATATTCAGGGCGCCCACTGTTTGGAGGTGCGTGGTCTCCCTTTTTTTCAGAACCACATAAAACCAGTGGACCGTATAAACAGGGCGAAAACCAGCTTTCACTGTCCTTGGGGGGGGAAACACACTAAAAAGGGTACAACATTACTGTTATCGTACCCCTAAACCATAAACCCCAAACCCAAACTACCCTGTCATTCGGATGAGCAGCCGCCTGGGGCATCAGGAGCGGAACACTGGGCTGTTTGGGATCAAGATTTGGATCAAAACTAATGGGTGCAGGGTTTTTTTGGTTTAGGGTTTAGGTTTCAGAGTTTAGGGTTTAGGGCTTGGAGTATAAGATCTGGGTTCGGGATGTCGAAGTTTGGGTTTAGGAGTCGAGGATTCTAGAGTTTTGTTTCCAGGTTGCTGCTGGGCTTCAGGGGGCTTCGAGTTCAGGGTTTAGGGTATTCGTGTCCAAACCCTAAACCCTAAACCCTAAACCCTAAACCCTAAACCCTAAACCCCTTACCATGCTGAAAGCGCGAAGCTGAGGTAGCCGCGCCGGAGGGGCAGATGTCAGGCATCGACTGTCTCGTCTCCGACCCGGGCCGATCTTAGGGTTTAGGGTTTTAGGGTTTTAGGGTTTAGGGTTTAGGGTTTAGGGTTTAGGGTTTAGGGTTTAGGGTTTTGGGGTTTTAGGGTTTTAGGGTTTTTGGGTTTTAGGGTTTTAGGGTTTTAGGGTTTTAGGGTTTTAGGGTTTTAGGGTTTTAGGGTTTTAGGGTTTTAGGGTTTTAGGGTTTTATGGTTTTAGGGTTTTAGGGTTTTAGGGTTTTAGGGTTTTAGGGTTTTAGGGTTTTAGGGTTTTAGGGTTTTAGGGTTTTAGGGTTTTAGGGGTTTAGGGTTTAGGGTTTAGGGTTTAGGGTTTAGGGTTTAGGGTTTTTTGTTCATACGCCCATCCTGTGCCTAACTCCGCCCTTCAAGCTGTCACTGAATCAAACTCAGAAGGATTCGGTTGGAGATGCCCTAAGCCGCAAAGTGATCTACGGTTTAGGGCATACGGACACCCTAAACCCTATAACCCTAGAATCCCTAGAACCCCAGAATAATCTCCCAGGGGCCTGAAAGTGTAGGGATGAGGGTTGAGGGTTGAGGGTTTAGGGTTTAGGGTTTAGGGTTTAGGCGGGTTAAGGGGGGTTAAGGGGGGTTGGTGTCTAGCTCTTGGGTCGGTTGAAAAGCCCCCACCCCTGCCGGCCCGCCTACACTTTTCAGGCCTGACATGAAAGCCTGAAAGGGTTTAGGGTCCAGGGTTTAGGGTTTAGGGGGCTTTGGTTTCGGGTTGTTTAGGGTTCAGGGGTTTTCCCCCAAACCCTGAACCCTCGCCGAGAGCCTCCTAAACCCTAAGCCCCTAAACCTCGAAACCCTAAGCCCCTGAACCCGACGGTCCCTTTCCCTTGTTTATAGGGATCCGAAGTATCTGCCCTTATCATACTTTGTGCAGAAACAGGTTTGTATATCAAAGGACCCAAATCAAGGGCCCATACTTCGGATCCCCTCAAGAAGGCCCTCCTGCCCTAAACCCTTGAAACCGAACCTGTTTGCCCTCAGCTTTGCCCAAGACACCTTCAGGGGGAGCTCTAACCCTAAATCCCAAACTCCTCATCCCAACTTTGCCTTAATCTAGTCGGCAGGGTTCACACCCTAAACTCCCTAAACCCTCAGCCCTCAACCCTGAACTCCCCTTTGCCTTGTCGGCTCTCACTTAGCGTGGGCGTGTTTTTTCGTCCCGGTTTTGTGCCAACCATTTGGCTTCCAGAATCCACTGAGGCAGCCAGCATGCAGTTTAGGGTTTAGGGTCTAGGGTCTAGGGTTTAGGGTTTAGGGTCTAGGGTTTAGGGTTTAGGGTTTAGGGTTTAGGGTTTAGGGTTTATGGGGGGGGGGGGGGAGAGGGAGGTGCCGGAGATGGGCTTGAAGGTTGAGGGTTCAGTACTTAGGGCTATAGGTTTATCTAATGTTGGCCGGGCTGGGGATCTCTGTTTAAAGGGCTGGGTTCACACATCTTGTTTTATTCTGAAGTTACCTTCTTACCTGGCTGTCAACCCTTCGTCCCAGGAAAGGTAGAGGACCTGGGATCATCAGGGCTTGAACGACCCTAAACCCCAAACCCTGAGCCCTAAGCCCTAAACCCTGAACCCTAAACCCTAAACCCCAAACCCTAAACCCCAAACCCTAAACCCTAAACCCTGAACCCTAAACCCCAAACCCTAAACCCCAAACCCTAAACCCCAAACCCTAAACCCCAAACCCTAAACCCTAAACCCCAAACCCTAAACCCCAAACCCCAAACCCTAAACCCTAAACCCTGAACCCTGAACCCTGAACCCTGAACCCTCTAATTCAACAGGGCCACGTGCGGCTGCCATGGCAGAGGCCACCTTCAAGGTCGCTTCGCCTTGTTTTGTGGCTGGGTTGGGAGGGGGGGTTAGGGTTTAGGGTTTAGGGTTTAGGGTTTAGGGTTTAGGGTTTAGGGTTTTTTGGGTTTTTTGGGTTTTTTGGGTTTTTTGGGTTTTGGGTTTAGGGTTTAGGGTTTAGGTTTCGGGTTTAGGGTTGGGGGGCGGGGGGGGGGGGGGGTAGGGTTTAGGGTTTAGGGTTTAGGTTTCGGGTTTAGGGTTGGGGGTTTAGGGTTCAGGGTTTAGGGTTAGGGGGGGAGGGGTGGGGGGGTTAACTCGGGCTTGGGGTTTAGGAGTGTGTGTTGTTGTGTTTGTTCTTGTTCATCTTTTCTCTTGTTCCTAAACTGTTCCTAAACCAAAACCCTAGTCTCGTGGCAGCAGCCTACCCCCCCCCCCCCTCCCCCAACAGCCCTCTCCCGCAGATGCAATGCGGAGGTGGGTTCAAGATGTAGGGTTTAGGGTTTAGCCTTTAGGGTTTCGGGTTTAGGATTTAGGGTTTAGGTTTCAGGGCTTTCCAGTTTGTACTCAGAAGACGACAGGATGCGTAGCGCGAAGAAGCCGTGCATGCTTCCAAGTTTGGTCTGGCCGCGCGAAACCCTAAACACGAAACCCGCAACGGCCTAGCCCCAAACCCTAAAACCCCTAAAACCCTAAAACCAAAAAACCCTAAAAACCCTAAAACCCTAAAGCCCAAAAACCAAAAAACCCTAAAACCCTAAATTTCTAAAACCCCAAAACCCTAAAACCCTAAAGCCCTAAAAACCCTAAAGCCCTAAAACCCTAAAACCCCAAAACCCTAAAACCCCAAACCCCCTAAAGCCCTAAAGCCCTAAACCCTAAGCGCTACTTTATCCCAAGTCTCAAGCTCACAAGGTCTGCGTTCGCTCCACCTTCATCGACGTCGCTGAGGTGGCGGGCATAGAACTTGGATACCCGAACCCCTAAACCCTAAACCCTAAACCCTAAACCCCTAAACCCCTAAACCCTAAACCCTAAACCCTAAACCCTAAACCCTAAACCCTAAACCCTAAACCCTAAACCCTAAACCCTAAACCCTAAACCCTAAACCCTAAACCCTAACCCTAAACCCTAAACCCTAAACCCTAAACCCTAAACCCTAAACCCTAAACCCTAAACCCTAAACCCTAGCTGCTTTATTCCTAGGTTACAAGTGGGTCTAGACAAGATTATATCCTCGAGGTCCCCTTGAGATGCTAAACCTCAAAGCCTCTATACTCCTCAACCTCTAGCTGACATCCTACACCCCTAAACCCTAAACCCTAAACCCTAAACCCTACACCCTAAACCCTTAACCCTTAACCCTTAACCCTTAACCCTTAAACCCTAACCCTGAACCCTAGACCCTACACGCTGGGTATTCTTAGTAGCTGAGTGAGCACACTTTACACTTTTTGGGGTATTATAATCCCCTATAGAACTGAAAGTATTCACTTTTTGGGGCTTATTAGCTCCCTCGACCCTGGGTATATAGCAGGGGTTTTTTGACCAGGACCAGGTGGGCGCGGCTCGCCGTTCGACTAGCGAGCCGCCGGCTTCCTTTGCGCTGGAAGAGGCCCAAACCAAAGCGGAGGTTTAGGGTTTAGGGTTTAGGGTTTAGGGTTTAGGGTTCAGGGTTCAGGGTTCAGGGTTTGGGGTTTGGGGTTTGGGGTTTGGGTTTACGGTTTAGGGCTCGGGGTAAGGATTGCTTCGGAAGTATTGTTGCTTTAGGGTCTAGGGACATCGTCTTCAAGCTGCGGAAGCCTTGAGGGTTTTAAGGGCTGAGAGTTTTTTTTTCTAGTGGGGGAGGGGAGGACGGGGGGTGAGGGCCTCAGGGGTGTAAGAGGAGCTTCCACCCATGAAGGAATGGCACGTGCGCCGTAGGCCTCTGGGGCGTCAGGGGAATTTAATAAGGCTTCGGGGTTGTTTGGTGTTTTGGGTGCAGAGTTTTGCAACCCTGAACCCTGAAACCCTAAACCCTTGAAACCCTAAACCCTAAACCCTAAACCCTAAACCCTAAACCGAAGCCTTAATGCCTCTAGATTTCCTTTAGGAGCCTTAGCACCCTAAACCCTAAACCCTAAACCCTAAACCCTAAACCCTAAACCCTAAACCCTAAACCCTAAACCCTAAACGTAACCCCCTACTATAATCCCTCTTAAGGACTCTTGGCATAGGGGGGGGGGGGGGAATATCCCAAGGTTTTGGCGACTGGTGCTCCAATGGATTAGGGTTTAGGGTTTAGGGTTTAGGGCTTACGGTTTAGGGTTAGGGTTTGGGGGTTGGGGCTTGGGGCTTTAGGGGTTTAGGGTTTAGGGTTAGGGTTGAGGGTTAGGGTTTAGGGTTTGGGCCTACTTCGCTGGGGGGAATGCTATTTGGGGGGGGGGGGGGGTTATTTTTCGGGATCCTATGTATTGTCGGAAATTCCCACCATGAAAATGGCATGCTTCCGAAGAGTTGCCGAGGTCCGAAGGCCTAAGTGCTTAACACCCTGCTCCCTGCCCCCTAAACCCTAAACCCTAAAACCTAAACCCTAAACCCTAAACCTTAAACCCTAAACCCTAGACCTTAAACAAACCTACACCATGGCCCCAAACTCCCGCGCACGGAAGCGGAACCATGTCGGAGATGGCCTCAAAGAACAAGAGTCCTAAAACCAAAACCCTAAACCCTAAACCCTAAACCCTAAACTCTACCTCACACTTCGAGGGCTTTGGGTTTCAGGCGGCTGGAGGCTATGGGCTTGCTTCGCGGAAGCGGGACCACATGAACCCTAAAAGGGTTTATGGCTCATATACCTTAAGAGGAATTCATAGTAGTATAGGGTACATGACCCTAATGCTAGGGTTTAGGGTTTAGGGTTTAGGGTTTAGGGTTTAGGGTTAAGGTTGTCGCGTTTGTTTACAGACCATCGGCATATTCCTTACCCAAAAGCGCCAGGCCACGCAGGTACACCTCGACAACCATCAGTTGAAGGCGAACACCGAGCGCTTAGTTCAAGAGGCTCGTGGTGTGAAAATGTAAACCCTTAACCCTAAACCCTAAAAAATCCTAAACCCTATAAGCCCTAAATCCTTAGCTCTCGCTCCGTCCCCACCCCCCGCCCGATACCCTCAACTGCGCTCAGGGAGCTGTGGTGCTTGAATTCGT